GTAGCATTCACTTTTCCTCTGAACCCTCTTTTCCCAGCCAGGCTCTTAGATCCCAGCCTCTTGGGGGCTCATTTACCTCCTTCATGTCTCTGTGAGATGTCCTCTCCATTATTCCTTCCCTGAAAAAAAAATGGAAACTGCAGCTGTCAGTCCAGTATTCCCTCCCCAGTTCCCTGTTTTGTTTTGTTTTTCTTCCCCGCACTTTTCACAGTCTCCTGTGCAGTCCTTCTGCACCTCATTTATGATCTGTCTCCCACCCCAGGGAATGAGAGCAGAAGTTTTGTGTTTTTGACTGGCACCTGGTAAGGGCTCAATAAGTATTTGTGGAATGAATTGACAAATGCAAAAGTATTGAACAAAATGTTAGCATGATGTATTAAAAAATACAGTATGACTCAGTTGGATTTTTCTCAAGCTTAAATTAGAAAACTTCATTGAAATGGCAAATAAAAAACAAAAACAAAATTATTTCAATTGGAAAAGAACATGTTATGGGATTCAAAGTTAAAGAGATCTTACTTTCTTTAACCAAATATTACACTTAATGGTAAAACAAGTGTTTTTTTTTAATATTAGCAGCAAGAAAAGGTGCCTTTATCACTACTCCCACTCTTTTCATTGCATTTTACAAAATGAATAGAAAGGTACCAATAATGAAAACAGATAAAGCTCAAAATGTTTACAGATGGTATGATCATCCATATAACTAACTCAAAATAATTCACAAAATAAAAATAAATCAGAAATTCAAAAAAGAATTTTGCAAAATTTGTAGATGCAAAATTAATTTTTAAAAAAGCTACCAATCAGAATCTCCATGAATTAAATTGTGGACTCAGACAAACTGTCCCCAAGGTGTACACGGTGATGTAAAAGGGCCCTGAATGGCCTGACCCACAGGAGATCAACAACCCAAGTCCCACCCGAGGCAGTGTGGTACGGCCCAGGGATAGACCCACAGACTGCCCGGCAGCACAGACAGCCCACAGACAGACCCACTGGATGCTTGGTCACAACGGGGTGATGCTGTAGGGCCGGCAGAGAAGAATCCACTCGTTGAGAAATGGTCCTAGAAAACACTTCAGTGAAGAAATGTCCATCTCTTGTCCATCTCCTTTCCAGGATTCACCATTTTGTCCATCTGTCTGCTCAGCTGTCTCCTGTGCTCTTTTCATTGGTTTAGATTCTTTACTCATTATTTATTTCAGTGCATTTGGTGGAGTGAGCAAAGGTAAAGGCTTGTGTTTACTTCACAATGTTTAAATGGAAGTAAATGAACCATATATCTCATCTTTTAAAAAAAATAGACTATCTCAAGAGTTTTGATTTCCTTTGAAATTTTTGTATTAAGTCAACCTATAACCCCACAAAATAGTGGGCAAATGCTAATGTTCCAGAGAGTAGGGAAATCTCCTAATTCCTTTAACTCAGGATTAATTCATTTGAGAAAATGAGGCTTGGCACTGGACCTGAGGAGAGCTTCTTTGTGTATCCTAGGTGGTGTCTATTTGCATGTAAATTCTGTGTTCAATATTTGAACCATCAGCTCCATTGGAGAACCAGTGGGCCCTGTTCCCATTATATGTAGTACTGAGAGTGTTTGTGGTACAAAGTAATGCTCTGTACTGTTTTTATATTTCCTCAGGAAAGGTATTTTCTCCAGCCCCAGCACTTCACTTGCTATGCTGTGGGCAATATTCATTTAGCAGACTGGTTTCTCGCCTGAGGTGCAGTAAAATCGAGGGGATGGGTAGCAGCAGAATCCACAGCCTGAGAGGATGAGTGTGGGGAGCGGATCCTGGGCCCAGGCACATGGTTGCTGTGGCAACGCTGCTGCTCTGCCAAGGCTGTTTCTCACTGTGGGTGGGAAGAAGCTCCCTCCCCTGCCAGCGAGGATGATGTGGGGTTCTGGCAGCTGGAGAGAACGCTGGGCCTATGCGCTGTTTCCCAGATGGGAGCTCCGAGAGTCTTCCATAGGCCACTGGGCATGCCAGCCCTGCAGAAGCACGGGGTGGGGAAGGCGATTAGGGTCCAGCCCGGCACAAGGGCGGAGTGTGCAAGCTGAGATGCTCAGGGCTCTCACTTTGAGTGCAAGCTTTGCAGAGGATCAGGCCTGACTGAGAGGGAATGGAGGCTTAGGGGAATGTGCATTTGTCAAATGGGGTAATATAATTCTGAGTAATTAAAATGGCAGCATTTAAATAGGAAGGAAAAGAGGTATCTCCACTGGAAGATACTTAAACTAAGACAATTTGGAGATCTAAAACTCATTTGGAAATGCCAGTTCACTCAGGGTTGTCAATTTGGACTTAGCCAGTATTGCAATTTATCTGACGTGTTTTCTAAATTTAACAGTTGGTACTCAAAGTTACGAGTCAGACCCCGCTGGTTTGACTCTCAGTCAGGGCACATGCCTGGGTTGCAGTCCCTATTCCCAGTATGGGGTGTGCGAGAGGCAACCACACTCTGATGTTTCACTCCCTCTCTTTCTCCCTCCCTTCCCCATCTCTCTAAAATAAGTAAATAAAATATTTTTTAAAAGTTACGCATCAGGACACTAATAGCACCGCCGTCCAGGGATATAAAGTCTGGGTGACCAGGGTTCACTTGCTTCCGTGGAGGCCAGCAGTGTTGGTCCATCTACCCTGCAATGGAGACAATGTGACAGGAGCAGAAGGTGACTCTGAATTAGTAATGGGGTGAGTCGGATGTCCACGGGGGCCGTTCTGGGGCTCGGCTGTGAGTTTCCCCCTTCATGTGCTCACGAGCCCTTCTCCTTCTGACTTTATCTTTCCTCTTTTCTAAGTTTTAGGTCTGGGGCCCAGCAAAGGTGATTCCTATCTAAGAATGTGACATTCGGACTCTCTTCTTTATTTTTGAACTTGTATTCTGAAGGGTTTTGACGAACGTGTTATTATGGTTTTGACACCTCTGGGCCTGAAGCAGGAATCTCCCCAACCTCTGTCAAATGCTTCAGGAACAGTAGGGGAGACAAATCACAAAGGAATAAATAGGACTTGAGATCATGGGGCTGTCTGGAGCACTTGCCAAAATTAGGAGTAACTCTGCCTTGGGTGGGTACTAATTTTATTCCTTTCTTCCTTTATTTTTAAATGAGATGTAAATTTCACAACATGGAGAGATAGAGAATAGTCTAAAGATTTTCCTTCCACCCTGGTAATCTTCCCCACAAACTGTGTTCAATGACATTCAAATGCTGCACACACTCTGGTCTCCTCCATCTGCCTGCGAAATCTCCGGCACTACCATAGGAAGTGTCAAGCTGTTCTAACCTTTTCTACTTCCCCGCTGTGTGTGCGTGCATGTGTGTGTGTGTGCCGGGGGAGGAGTGTTCAGGACATGATTTGTCTGTACAAGCAAGAGCTATGGAAGCCGGGAGGAGTTCAGCCTTCCTTTTTTGACCTCCTCTAGGGCAGAGGAGACGAGCCATAATTCTCTTGAGAAGGCCAGTTCGGTGGTCAGTATTAAAATAGCAGGCCAGCCCACCCACCCTCTGAATCTGAAGTTGCCTCACACAGGAACTCTGTGATCATTGCATGTACCATATGTTGCTGGAAACATATATGAATCCCAGATAAAGCGCACCCAGATCTTCCTGGGACTCAAGCACAATGAATAACAATGTGTTTCTCAACATCCTTGGTTATTTGTTTCTGAAGACAGAAAAAGTTAATTGTGTGGAGAGTTTCGGAGGGGCTTCAGCATTATGAAAAGAGATTGGTCAAGAATTTCCAAAAGGAGAACAGTGGGAGGCCAGTCTGGGAAGGAGTAGGGACCGGGGCAGATTGAAGTGAAACAGATCATCTTCCTCTCAGCCATCAGCCCTCTTACCTAAATTCCACCCCTCACCTGTGGCTCACACATAGCATCTCATCAGTATTTCTTATGCAAAACATACAGGTTTAAGCATTTTTAGTCAATCTCTTAGAAGAAGAAAGCTAGCAGCCACCTAGAAAATTCTGATGCTTAATTAGAATATCAACAACTGTGGTTTTCCAATTGCTCAGAATAAATAAGTCTGAAGCCGTCTGTTGAAAATTAAGGCTAAAATGACTGAACTTCCAAAGTGATTACTGTGGTCAAGGAAATTTTGAAAACCGTATCTCAGCACAATGACAGTTGATATTAAAAACTACTAAAGCTGCTTCTGATAATGGTAGATGTTTATTGAGTAGTTCCTCTGTCCTGCACTATTTTATGTATTAACTCATTTAATCTCACAAGAATCACTTGAGGGAAATTCTTACTGTCATCTTTTTACAAATGATGAAATCAAAAGAATAAACTTGCCCAAAACATGCACAGTGGTAAATCAGGGTCCCAACCTGCCCTGGTCTCTCTGTCCAGCTGGGCCAAGATCTTCCTTGTTTTTTTACCATGCAGCACAGCGAGAAATGGATTTTGCACGATGAGTCACTACGAAATGACACACGTGAAATCTGAACTGAAAGGATGCTAAAATAATTTGCCTTTCCATAGGCAAACTCAGACATTGCCCTGACTGTTCTCTTTCACTTTAAATTGTAAATTACTGGTTAAAGTTCACTCAATGGGTTCCCTGAGGAACAGATTTTGACAAACTATTTAAAAGATACAGCTACAGGGAGTTCAAAAGAGTAAATGTTGTTGAAATTAAAACTTCAGTCCATGAAGCTTGAGAGCAGTGAAGTCAAGAAGGAATGATCCTCACGCATGGAATGTGAAGATTAGTTGTTCTCAGAAGTCTGGATGGGGAGGAGGGGCTTCTGTTGGGTTGCGATAGAAGACAAAGCCATCAGCAGAAGCAGGCATTCTCTTGTCTGGAGGAAGGGTTTCTACTCAAGGAACCTGACATTTATACCCTGCAGGGCACCCTCGGCTTTGATTTACAGAGTTGACCTGATGTCACCCACAAATGCAAAATACTTACCCATAATGCTGAAGAAAATTAGATTAACAAGAAATACTAATTTCTACCTTTTTTCTTTTGATCCATGCAGGGTGCTTCGAATGCTGTATTAAATGCCTGGGAGGCATTCCCTACGCCTCTCTGATCGCCACCATCCTGCTGTACGCTGGTGTGGCCCTGTTCTGTGGCTGCGGTCATGAGGCGCTCTCCGGAACGGTCAACATTCTGCAGACCTACTTTGAGATGGCAAGAACTGCTGGAGACACGCTGGACGTCTTTACCATGTAGGCCGCCCCTGCCTTGCTTCTTGTTTTGCGAGTGTATGGGTGCGTTGCTGTGTGTTGAGTGAACAGGGGCCCAGAGTTAAGTGAGGCCATGTGATACAGGAGAAACAAAATTCTCTTAGATTTTGCCTATGCATCAAAAGGACATTGACCTTTGCCACGAGTACAGGACACATAGCAGAAGATCAGTGGCCAGCGTAATCTGGACTTAATTGTGTATGCATTTGAATACAATGTTTTCTCCAAAACTCAGTTACCATTAAGTAGAATGCTTGCCTTACCATTGCTCTTCCAATCTGAGCAGAGACTTTTCTAGCAGAATAGGACAGAAGCCAGAGAACAGAGCCTAACAGAAATATAGACTCGGCTATTTTTCTAGAAAAATCACCCCAACTCCCTGGTGCTCCACCAGGGGTATTTTATCACCTGTCCTTTCCTGTATCACAGAAATGATGTGACCATGCAAGTCAACATTGTGAAAGATTCTTACTGACTTCTGTGAAAGGGGAAGTCATAAGAAATAAGGAGCCCCTATTCATAAGCACCAGTTATGCTTAAAATGTACATTTTACTCAGAACATGTAAACTCCTGGGATCACTAAATTATGAGGAGGTTAATATTTTTTAACAAAGATAACATAAGCATAGTCTGGAAGTAAAAAAGAGTTTGCTGTTCCAGTTTCAGACCTTTACTGACTAATATAGGGAGAAAAAGTTTAGGATTCACCCTGGCCACGCAGCTCAGTTGGTCAGAGCCTCTTCCCAACACACCAAGGCTGTGGGTCCAATCACAGGTCAGGGCACAGCCAAGAAGCATCCAATGAATGTGCAAATAAGTGGAACAACAAATCAATATCTGTCTATCTGTCTGTCCATCTCTCCTCTTTCCCCTTCCACTCTCTATCTAAAATCAATACATAAAGAATTATAGAAGAATTTATTTTCCAATAAATTTGCAATTCAGATAATTTATTCAGTGATTTCTTGCCCACAGAAAGAAAATGCCTTACTTACTATGTTTTATTTTCTAATCTCAGCAGACAGAAACTCTCCATTGTGTCAGCATTTATTTCATGCTTCTTAAGACTGTGCGATTATAATGTTTTTCACCTTGCTTCATGTTGTCATTATAAATAAATTTGAACCTTCTTAATTAGTATATACTTTTTCTGGAATAAGAAGCTTTTAGAGTTACAACTCTTTGTGGTTATACATCTGGGAGGGGGACTTTGCTTTTGACTTATAACTCCATCAAAAAGGAGTTAGTCATATTTCTTATTTACCAGCAAAGTCCCTACTGACCTGGTGTAATTATAACCTCAGACCCTAATCCAAAAAACACCAGGGCAACCGGAACAACTTTCTAGGTAGAAAAACATAACTTTTTTCCAACCCCAATTTCAGAAAATATAACATACTGCTAATTTTTTAAATAGTTTGTCAGCTACAGGCAGATAGATTATCTTGAGCAAAGTATTGCTCCTAAGTTATATTTCTTATTTTATTCATTAAAGTGGTTGATTTCCATAAAAATGACAAGAGAAAAAGAGATGCACATTTTTATCAAATCACAGAATGAGAATTCCCTTCTGCAGGTGGGAGGCATGGACGCTGGACAGAGTGAGAGCAAACATTTTAGGGAAGGGAAAGTTGAAATATTTATGTTGGTACTTTAAAGTTGATATTGATTGGTCATAAAGTAAGAAATATAACAGCCCTGGCCAGTGTAGCTCAATGGATTGAGCATGGGCCTGAGAACCAAAGGGTTGCCAGTTCAATTCCCAGTCAGGGCACATGCCTGGGTTGCAGACAAGGTCCCCAGTAGGGGGCACAAGAGAGGCAACCACACATTGATGTTTCTCTCCCTCTCTTTCTCCTTCCCTTCCCCTCTCTCTGAAAGTAAATAAATAAAGTCCTTAAAAAAATAAATATAACAAAGTAAGTGGGTAAAACTGAGAACCACCTCCCACTACCCTCTGTCACACACACAGTGATTAAAAGGAGGAAAGAGTTGATTACCTACTCAGTCAAGAAGTAGATTTATTTTAAAACATATTCACTAACTCTGAAGTATCAGTTTAGAGCTCATCTGTCTCTGAGAAATGGAAATAAAGAAATAGAAAATTTTTCAAATCATGACCTAAAAAAGATAAAGAAATATACTGATATAACTTTATTTCATAAATTTGTTCTACAGAATTAGCACTGCCCATTAAATTGAATTCTGTAAGTTTACAGTAAACAGTTGATCAATTTCTATTATATTGACTGCATAGCATGAATTGATGTTTGAGAGTTTATAAATGATCTTTATCATTGGAAATATAGTTAAACTATTGAAAATGATTTGGATAATTGCAAGTTAGTTTCAGAGAACCTTAAGAAAATGATTACATGGGTATATTTTAATGTGATAAAGCTGACATTTTCCTTTTAGTTTTATTTCAGCCTACACTGGACAAAATATATTTTCACTGTGCATTATTTTAAGCTACCACAGATGTCCTTAAAATCTACAGATTCTCTATATTTAGGCTACATCCAAATTGCTAACTTTAATTTTGGAATAGACATTTTAAAGAAACACAAGCCTAATAAGCATCATGAGCTGGGCACACACATGGATCAGAAACCAGTTGTCAACCTATTTGACATCTCAACAACGCCCGATCACAGGGCTCTGCCAACGCCCTGAGGTAGTTGTCCATGGGGGAGCTCCAGAGAGAAGTCAGAGATGATGCAAAGTTAGTACTTTTACTGAGTTGTTCTCTTAGGTTGGGAGTGAAGTGCGACACCAGTGAAGCCTGTTTTGAATGGGCAGAATCCCATTTTGATAGGAATAAAAGCAAGGATTCAAATGAGCTCTCATTTCATATTTCAAATAACTAAAATTCCTACACCAGATTCTGTGAAGCAACCGAATGAATTAAGATTCTCTGTCAACAAACAGGCCAGGAAAACACAGAGGGAAGATATGTACCATAAGCTACTGGATACAATTAGTGCCAATGGTACATTCAAAGTTTATGTAAAGGTTTAGACGACGTAGAGATTACCCTGGGTGGGGCTGCCAGACAAGGATATCAGAGGAACAGATCAGAAACAGAGGAAGTAAAACAAAGAATATAAAGCAGAAGTATTGTAGGCAAAACACTTGCTTGGAAATCAGCTAAGGCAAGTTGGAAAAGAATGTGTAAGAGAATGATTGTGAGGAAAAGACTAGTTGGCCAACCTCTGTAACATATAAAGAGCCCATTTCTCTTCTCCATAGTTCTTATCCTTGATTCAATCAAACCAAGTGCTCCCACACCATTGGCTTATAAAGGAAAAGAAGGCTGTTGACTAGATAAAAGATAAAACCCATTGTCCAAGACTCCAGTCTCCCACCTGAGGTCCTTGGGATCAGAGGAGTCACTCTTCCATCTCAGCTTCTCACTCTCTGTTTCTTGTCACTATCCCTCCCTGTAAACACACTCACATATCTCAGCGTGGTCCCCGTGTCCCAGCCTGCAGGCCTCACACACTAAAATATGTCTCTTCCACTTCACTGATCATCTACTAGCTTCCAAAATTGACTTCTCATAAATAGATTTGCAAATAACCTCCATTCTCAAGCAATCTCTACTTTGGACATATAATTCCAATACCATTAGCTCTCACCAATGGAAGGTGATCTGAAATGTAGCTCCTACACTGATGTTGCCTGTTAAATCACTTTGTCAGATTCTATTTGCGATGTGGAGACCCCCCACAGAGTGGGGAAAGTGAATCTCTCAAAGATTTTGTGACCCACTGATACGTATTTAAGAACCACTTTGTTTCTCCTCACCTGCTTGGCTTCCCAAAAGTTTTTCTTCCCTTAATCTGTCAGTTTAGTCTTTCAAGTTCATGGCCATTTGCTGGCTCCAAATGATTGTGACAATGAGCATGTAATTTCACCCACTGTGCCCATTATGGAATATTCCCACACTCAGAGTACAGCTCCTATTGTTTGGGGAGGCCGCTTAGGCCCCTTGGCCCTGGAAACAGCTCACTGTTATGCCACATTTGGCTGTGTGATGAGGCCAATTTTCTGTTTGAGATTTGGACTCTCTCATCTGAGAGCTCCACAGCAAGGTGCTACCATTATGCTTCATAGGTTTCACTTGACTGGCTGAGCAAGAAACAAGGTAAATATTTTGCCTTTGCAAAGCAGATTCACACATAGGACAATGAAATATGGAAACTGGTTAGAAAATTAGATATCAAACAATTCAAACCACTAACTTGGCTAAGTGACTTGGCCTCTTGAATAACTCTTCTGAGGACTGAGCAAGGGACAACCTTATTGACAATACAGTGCCGCCCTTAAAAACATCAGACAGATTGTATTGGGGTTTTGACTAATTATAATCAGGACTGAGGAACTGGTAGTATTGAGTTCTAGAGAGGATATATTTCATTTTCACAATTTTGACTGTGACTTGAGGTGAATGCATCAAAAGCTGAGTTTACTAGATAATGAATTCTTTGATATTTAATGCACACATAAAAGTCAGTTCCTGTATGCCCAAAGCAAAAGCAGGCAGTAAGCTTGATAAAACAGGTGTATTGGTTATGCTCTACTAACAGAATGTGTATATCTATCTTAGTCTGCCTGTAGTTCATGTTTATTCCTTGGAAGTTAATGAAATAGGAAACTGTTATCAGCAGCCTAATGGATGGGAGTGAGAAGGAAAGGAAAGCAGGAATTCGTGGCAAGATAAAGCCAGGTTTCACAGGCTTGTGGAAATCACAGCCGTGTGCACACACCATCTGTTCTGACCCAGGGGGGTGACAATCAAACCAGATGGCTGAAATCTTCTACTTATAAGAAGTTTCAAGATCAGGCAAATTAATGTTGATGTGAGATTATTGATTAGTCGTGGAAAGTCAAAAATAATTTCAGTTGTTGCTAGAACTTCGGTTAGAAAACTGCACTAAATTCCTAACTTCTGTTAAAATAAACAGTGGGCACCTTC